TCCATGGTCTCCTCGGGCCAGGACTGCTCTAGAGTGATCTGTGGAAGCATCAACAATCTTCAGCTTAAGTCAGGACTCCTGCAGAGAGGTCTATTAACACATAGTGAGTGAAAAAGGTGACTGAAAAGGAAAAACTCAGTTTGAAGCCTAATCTTGAAAGTAGAGATAGTGTCTGTCTCCTGAATCCAAACTGGAAGCTGGTTCCACAGAAGAGGGGCCTGAAAACTGAAGGCTCTGCCTCCCATTCTACTTTTAAACACTCTAGGAACAACAAGTAGGCCTGCAGAGCGAGAACGAAGTGCTCTAATAGGGTGATATGGTACTACAAGGTCATTAAGATAAGATGGGGCCTGATTATGTAAGACCTTGTATGTGAGGAGCAGGATTTTGGATTCTGGATTTAACAGGAAGCCAATGAAGGGAAGCCAAAACAGGAGAAATATGCTCTCTCTTTCTAGTCCCTGTCAGGACTCTTGCTGCAGCATTTTGGATTAGCTGAAGGCTTTTCAGGGAGTTTTTAGGACTTCCTGATAATAATGAATTACAGTCGGCCAGCCTGGAAGTAATAAATGCATGAACTAGTTTTTCAGCGTCACTCTGAGACAGGATATTTCTAATTTTAGAGATGTTGCACAAATGGAAGAAAGCAGTCTGACATATTTGTTTAATATGTGCATTGAAGGACATGTCCTGGTCAAAAATGGCTCCAAGGTTCCTCACAGCGTTACTGGAGGCCAAGGTAATGCCATCCAGAGTAAGAATCTGCTTAGATACCATATTTCTAAGATTTATAGTAACTTCAGTTTCGTGTAAATTTGAGAAAATTAGAGGTCATCCTGGTCTTTATGTCTTCTAGATGAACTAATTGGTGTGTGTTAATTGACTTTGTGGATAGATAAATTTGGGTATCATCTGCACAGCAGTGAAATGTGTGCTATGCCTTCTAATGATACTGCCAAGGGGAAGCATGTATACATTTTTGGAGTACACATAGATAATAAACACCAATGCACTCTACAGGAAGGGCAAGCGTCGTCTTTATTTTCTTAGGCAGCTGAGGTCTTTTAAACATCTGTTGGAAAATGCTCAGGATTTTCTATGAGTCTATTGTGGCCATGCTATCCTTCGTGAGGTTGCATGATGGAGCTTCAGGTTGAGGGTCGCAGATGCCAACGGACTCAAACTGGTCCGCAAGGCCAGTAATGTTGTGGGGATGGAGCTGGACTGCCTTAAGGTGGCGTGGGAGAGGCAAATGTTGTCCAAGATAAGGACAATGCTGGAAAATACCTCCCACCTACTCAATGACGTGCTGGCCAGTCGCAGGAGCACGCTCAGTAAGAGGCTGGGATTACCCAAATGCAGATTTAACAACACAGGAAATCATTCCTGCCTGCAGTAGCACTGCATTGGTACAAGATGATAACAGTGGAGAATTATACCCTTTAGTTAGTTACAGCACTTTCAGAAAGACGTCTACTGTGAGAATATCTGTTCTCAATGTTGTGTAATCTCTTATTGTAAATTTATTAAGAAGTGATCAGAGAAAAGAAGGACATTAGGGAATGTTGTTAAATATTCAGTTTCTATGTCAGAACAAGATCTCTATTGTGATTAAAGTGGTGGGTGGGTTCTTTTACATTTTCAGAGAAGCCAATAGAATCTAAGAACATATTAAATGCCATGTTGAAGCTGTCATTACATTGGAGATTATGTATCGGAATTTCAGGAGCGGGACCACGCCTCCAAACATGCTCCTTCCGGTTGTCATCTATATAGGTTCCCCCCAGTTCTGCAAACTGTTCATTCTCGTTTACGTGCAAACAGGGTCCATTCTCGGCAAATACCTTTAAACACAGCTCATCTCTCAGGAGTAACGTAGTTTTACAATCACCATCTCGTCCGTCAGCGCATCAGACGGCACCAGGTTGCCAGGTACCTTTCTCCTTCATTCGCAAAAGCAGCAGCAAGCTTTCGACCATCGGGTTGCCAGTTTGCATAGTTAAGGAAAAAAATAAAAGGGCACAGAGTTGCCAGTACTCCTTCCCTCCATAGCAAATGCAGCATACTTCGGCACTGAGTTGCCAGGTTCCCAGCCTCTTCCATCCTTGGCTAAACTCCGCAGCAAACGTCGGCACCGGCCAGGTTCCTTTATCCCTCATTCGTGAAAGCAGCAGCAGCTTCGGCAGTTGGCAGTTGTCTGCATAGACAAATAAATAAAAAGGCACCGGGATGCCAGGTTTTCCTTCATCCCCCATTTGCATGCAGCATCTAGCGTCCCTACTACCGAACTGCCAGTTTCTCCACTTCTATCATTGCAAGCAGCAGCAAACCCTTCTAGCACAGTGGTGTCAGGCTCTTGCTATATCTGCCATGTGCAAACCGCAGTGACAAGCTTCTTACCCCTGAGTTGCCAGTTCCTGTCCATCCATCAGGGCTAAAGCAGCAGAGAATCCTTCTAGGTGGTTCCTTCTATATCCATCATTCGTAATCGCAGCAGCAATCTTCTTCCACCACGTTGCTAGTTTCTCAGCATCCGTTATTCCAAAGCAGCAGTAAAACCCCTCTGGCACTAAGATGACAGGTTCTCTCTTTATCCCTCATTCGCAAATGCAACAGCATGCCTCCGGCACCGAGATACCAGTTTCGCTGCCATCTTTCCTGCCTTTGCAAAACAAAGGTGAACCTTTGTGGCACCGAGATGGCAGGTTCTGTCCTCTATCGCTCCTTCTAAGACATCCAAACTGCGTCATGCGCATAATTCTTCATAGCGTGCCTTCACTTCTCATGTGCTTTCACCAGCATCATCAGGCATCCACCCTCGACACAATCATTTGAGACCACTCTCTAAGCCGACTCACGGTTCTGACTGCGTCTGAACGACTTATCATCTCCCATGAAGTCCAGTGGACTCGCACTCTGCTCTCGGACGATTTTGACGTTATTATAGCAGAGATTATTTTCCTCTAATCAGTCTTTCAATTCATCAACTCTCCCCAAGCTGGTGCTGTCACTTCTGTTAATTCAGAAATCAGCTGAGGCGTTATTGCTACCTTATCTGAAGTAATTAACCATCTTCTACTCAAAGACAAGCTTTTTGAGGCGCCGAGCCCTACCTCAAATCTCAAATCCAGCATTCTTCTCTGTCAGAGCTTCAGCTCAAAGTTGAGCCACGTCGCTACCCGATCGAGGGTTCCCCTCATTCATCCATTAAGATTTCCGTTGTTTGCAACTTCCTTTGATCTCTTCACCTGCCATTCCTTCCGAATTGTCCGAGCTCATCCTCTCCACACCACTGAGCAACGTTCGCTCTCCATGCGATCGTCTTTGTCCTCTTCTCCTTCTCTCTCCCCACCTTTACCTACTAAAATGCTGTCAATCCGAAAATGAGGACGTGGGTCCAGCTAGTGAATTGGAGATTATGTATTGGAATTTCAGGAGCGGGACCACGCCTCCAAACACGCTCCTTCCGGATGTCATCTATATATAGGGGGCGATCGTGGCTCAAGAGTTCAACAGTGTATGAATGTGTGTGTGAATGGGTGGATGACTGAACGTGTAAAGCGCTTTGAGATCCTTAGGGACTAGAAAAGCGCTATACAAATACAGGCCATTTACCATATAGGTTCCCTCAGTTCTGCAAGCTGTTCATTCTCATTTACGTGACCCACCCTTCCTCCCTCCTTGTTCTCAATTCTTTAACTTCTTCACTCCTATTTATAGCACTTGGATCTGCCAGGCCCGGGAGCCGTCGCCAGTCCCCTTCGAGGCCTTCCCCAAACCGCAGCTCAATTAATGTCCAAGCATCACCTTTACCTACTAAAATACTGCCAAACCTAAAATGAGGACGTGGGCCCAGCTAGTGAATGGATGTTAAAATCACCCACAATAATTATTTTATCTGAGCTGAGCACTAAGTCAGATAAAAAGTCCCAGAAATCAGACAGAAACTCAGTGTAAGGCCCAGGTGGACAATAGATGATAATAAATAAGACTGGTTTCTGAGTTTTACAGCTGGGGTGGACAAGACTAACCATCAGGCTTTCCAATGAATTAAAAGTCTGTCTGGGTCTTTGGTTAATAAGCTTGAGTGGACGATTGATGCCAAACCCTCTTTTGGCCTGTACTTCGAGGATTCTGATGATTACTATGACTGAGGGACATTCATTCATCTAAATTAACATTATGTTGAAACCAGGTTTCTGTGAGGCAGACTAAATCAGTTTATTGATCAATTGTTAATTTATGTACTAACAGGGATTCAACGGGAGACCAAATATTAATCCAGATTTGACTGTTTTACTCTTTGGTGCAGTCGTGGATACTGTATTGTTCTTTCTTTGTGATTTTTTTATGTTTAAATCATTTTTTCCTGATTTTTGGTGATTTGGGAGTAGACATAGTCTTTAAGGGGATTTTGGAGGGATAAGGGAAGGAGAGAAGCTGCAGACAGCTCTGTAAGACTCTGTCGCTCTTTCTGGTAAAGATGTTGGACAGGTCATCTGTTTGAAGCACCTCTTGCACCTCTAGTTCTTCGGCATCTCTGGCTCCACACTCATAATCCAAACATTGATTGGTCACATAACAGCATTTCTGGTTAGATCACATGGCATCAACCCAACTGCATAAAATCTGCATCGCCACCCTTTCACCTCCTGCCGAACCACCAACTGATGTGAAACTTTCAAAATGTTTTCAGTTCAGGTATAGTGACAGCACAGGGAGGATTAAATTCATGAATTCAGTTATTCATCTACATCAGCAGGGGTCTGGAGCAGAATGCAGTTGTGTTTTCAGGCAGCTTCAGTCTTTACTTTAACCCCTTAGCAGTCCTACAAATTTACAATTAGTCCCCTAAACCATCCAATGTACCGTGGGCGGTACGTCCGACTGCTAACAGGTTAAGTAAAAATGTGCACTGACATTTGAAAACAGGGTCCTTTTTCATATGTCTGCTGTAGCCATCATGTAATTTGCCCATTTCCTCCTTTCTTCCCATCCAGCTTCACCTGCAGCCCAGCTCTTCGGCTCTTCTGTCTCAGTCTAACGTTGGGGCTCTGTTGAAGGAACTGGCTGATGTAGAGAGGCTTCTGAAGGATGTGGACCTGCTTTCTAGTCTGGCTCGCCTGCTGCCCAAAGGGGCCTGTGCTGGTCGAACTCCAGCATCGCCAGCAAACACAACATGGCCTCTCAATGCCACCACATGGGGCCCCAACACAACTGACATTCCCGTAGAGGGTGATGAAGGAGGAGAGGAAGGTGGAGGAGCAGGAAGTGGGAAAGGGAAGAAGGAAACGGAGAATCCTCATTCTCAGTTTTCAGCATTTGTACAGTTATGGGCTGGACTGCAGCCCATTCTGTGTGGGAATAACAGGTGGGTATGACAAAAACTGTCTTTAATTGTATGAGGAATGCTTTTGTCATGTTGTTTTAAATAATATGAACATACATTTAAAGAAGTGCCCACGTGTTTAGACTACTCCTTTTTACAAAAAAGCTACCCAACCGAAGAAAAACAGAAGCAGCCACAGGTTTTATCTTTATATGAACAATGGTCAGAGTACAAAGCATATGCAATGAGAAAGCTCCTCCTCAGTTTCTCAACATAATAAAGTTCTAGCACATAAATTAAATACCAATCACATCAAGAATACGAGAACAGAGAGATTGTTAACAGCTTAAATGGGAAGAAATTAAAATACCAAAATACCTGGATATCAACATCAGCAAGAATGTCAATTAACTGTTTGTAAAAGTGAAATAAGAGGATTATTTCTAGGACTTGTAGACAGTAAACTTTGTGGAATTAAATGAACTGAGCTCTAAAAGGATAAATGGACTGGTTCTTATATAGCGCTTTTCGACTTTATCTGAGCGCTCAAAGTCTTTATACATTCTCACATTCATGCAAGCACTTTTTTCAGTTTTTTTCTGGTTAAACACTTTCTAACATTCACACACACTCATACTCTGATGGATGCATTGGAGAGCACCTTGGGGTTAGTATCTTGCCCAAAGATACTTAACATGCAGACTGGAGAAGCCAGGGATCAAACCACCAACCTTCCCATTAGTAGATGACCTGCTGGATCTCCTGAGCTACAGCTGCCCCACCTCTAACTGATATAATTGTTGTAAATCAAAGTAATTATTGCTAAAACCACAAAATACTATGATAATAAAAAAAATGGAATTATTTTCAAACTACTCTGCTGTCCATGCACTTTATCGGCATACCGTTCTTTATGTAGTAAACAAAAAAAGTGTGAAATATCTCAAAACATGCTTTATATTTTAGATTCTTCTAAATAGCCAACCTTTGCTTTGATTACTGCTTTACACTGTGGCATTTATCTGGGCTGAAAGTATCCTCAGCAGCAGAGGGACTCTTGGTCTTCCTTTCCTGCAGCAGTCCTCATGTGAGCCAGTTTCATCGTAGCACTTGATGATTTTTGCGACTCCACTTGGGGACACATTCAAATTTTTAGCAACTTTTTGACTGACTGACTTTCAGTCCTTAAAGTAATGATGGGCTGTTGTTTCTCTTTACTCAGCTGATTGGTTCTTGCCATAATATGAATTCTAACAGTTGTCAAATAGCGCTGTCAGCTGTGTCCCAACCTGACTTCTATACAACACAACTGATGGTCCCAGTGGCATTAAGAAGGCAATAAATGAACAAATGGACCCTGACAGGCTCACCTGTGAGGTGACTACATCATGAAGCTCACTGAGAGAAGGCCGAGGGTTTGCAGCGCTGTCAACAAGACAAATGGTGGAATCTAAAATATAAACATATTTAGAGTTGTTTATCATTTTTTCTTTGCTTCCATATATCTGGCTTCATCTATTTGATGTCTTCAGTTTGCATCTACAATGTAGGAAGGGTAGTAAAAATAAAGAAAAAGCATTAAATGAGTAGGTGTGTCCAAACTTTTTACCTGTAGTGTATAACCTAGAAGATACAGATCAAATTTCAAAGTACTGTTAGTTATAGTAGGGCTGTCTTGGTCGACACGCCTCTACAATGTTCCATGGAGATCAGGGGTGGTAGCTCTGGATCGGCAGACCTGGTGGTGGTTTCCATCTTCAAAGAAGGGGATCGAACGGTGTGTTCCCACTACTGGGGAATCACACTCCTCAGCCTCCCTGGGAAAGTCTATGCCAGGGTGCTGGAAAGGAGAGTCTGTCCGTTAGTCCAACCTCAGATACAGGAGGAACAATGCAGTTTTCGTCCTGGTCGCGGAACACTGGACCAGCTCTTTATCCTCTCCAGGATACTTGAGGGTGCATGGGAGTTTGCCCAACCAGTCTACATGTGTTTCATGGACTTGGAGAAGGCATTCGGCCGTGTCCCTCGGACTGTCCTGTTGGAGGTGCTCTGAGAATATGGGGTGTCTGGCCCATTGCTACGGGCCATTCGATCCTTATACAACCGTTGCGAGAGCTTGGTCCAACATAACCGACAATAAGTCGGACTCGTTCCTGGTGGGTGATGGGCTCCACCAGGGCTGCCCTTTGTCACCGATTCTGTTCATAATTTTTGTGGACAGAATTTCTAGGTGCAGCCAAGTGGTGGAAGGCTTCACTTGATTGGTCTCAGAATCTCATCTCTGCTTTTCACGGATGATGTGGTTCTGTTGGCTTCATTGGCCTCCAGCTCGCAGTGGAACGGTTTGCAGCCGAGTGTGAAGCAGTGGGAATCAGATGAGGCACGCATCCAGTTCAGCCATCCAGGAGGGGCTCAGAGTAGAGCCGCTGCTCCTCCACATCGAAAGGAGCCAGCTGAGGTGGTTCGGGCATCTGACAAGGACGCTGCCTGGACGCCTCCTGGGTGAGGTGTTCCAGGCGTGTCCCATTGGGATGATGCCCTGGGGCAGACCCAGGACGTGCTGGAGAGATTATATCTCTCAGCTAGCTGGGAATGCCTTGGTGTTCCCCCAGACAAGCAGGAGGAGGTGGTGGAGGAGAGGGAGGTCTGGGCTTCTCTGCATAGGCTGCTGCCCCCGCGACCCTGCCCCAGATAAGCGGAAGAAAATGGATGGATGTTATTTAGCAGTACAGTCTGTGCTCTTAACCATAGATCTTGTTGCAGGATAATTGAACCGGAGGCTTTGAAGCAGGGAAACATGAGCTCTCTGGGATTCACCAGCAAAGAACAAAGGAATTTGGGCCTACTGGTTCACTTGATGACTACAAATCCCAAGATCCTCTACTCTCCTATTGGCTCCCAGGTGGACAAAGTGATTCAGAAGGCATGTAAACAGCACTCTCTTTCGTGTATATGTACAAAAAGATTTGCATTATCAATCGAGTATGAACAAAGCTTTTGTCATAACCAGCAAAAATACACTGTCCAAGCTATTAGTGTGTTTTCTTCCAAAACACTGGGAGGCAGAACGGACTGAATGAGTATTATGTAGATCACCACCATCTAATTTTTAACCCTAACCTGATACAATGTTCATTCAGAACATTTTCAATGTGTTGGTGCAACATGATCTATGCAACACTCCATAATGACAAAGCAAAAGTTGTTTCCATTCACTTGTTTTAGAATTGTTGAAAAAAAGGCTGATATTTTGCATTCATACTATTAATCACACACTTGGACATGACTGCGCTCTGTTGTCTGTGAAATGCTTTTAGAATTTGATTGGAGTCCACCTGTCATAGAACATATGTCTGTGAGGGTTCTCAGTCATCCAGGTCGTCGTAGTCAAAGGAGCTTGCAAAGAAAAGCGTCTGGACTTCTTTAAGTTACTTGAAGACGTTTCACCTCTCATCCGAGAAGCTTCTTCAGTTCTAAGGTCAAATGGTGGAGAGTCCCAGATATAAACCTAGTGGGAGTTTCCCCCCACAGAGGGACAATCACATGATAAGGTGGGGCCAGGTTTCACAATGAGCTCACCCGAAACTCTGGCTGATTGGGACCCACACCCAGTTTCACACCTTGGCTCAGGTGATTAGAGGATCATCAGGGGTCCTTTTGTCCCTCTGTGGGGGGAAACTCCCACTAGGTTTATATCTGGGACTCTCCACCATTTGACCTTAGAACTGAAGAAGCTTCTCGGATGAAGGTGAAACGTCTTCAAGTAACTTAAAGAAGTCCAGACGCTTTTCTTTGCAAGCTCCTTTGACGTCATAGAACATAATTGAAAAGGCCAGTGAGACAGGGCTGTGTCCAAGCACAGATCTGGGAGAAAATATATTTAGGATGTTTAAGACCACGGTGCCCTCCACTACTGTAAGAACTGTGTTACTGTATTGGAAGAAGAAGAAATATAATAGAAGACATTTTATTTATAGATATACATATATTTGTTTTTACAGATTCATACAGATTGTAATGAAAAACTAATGTGTTCACTTTTTTCTTTAAAGGCCAATGAGACATTTGCATTTGTTGGGAATGTGACACATTACACCCGGGTGTGGCTCAATATCTCCTCCCAGCTCAGGAGTTTCCTGGAGGAGGGCCAGTTCCACAAGCACCTGGTGTGGCTGCAGCAGGTACATTTACAAAAGAGCCCACTGACATGACGCTGCAGTGCTGTCTGTGCTGGAACATTTACATCCATCTTTTCCTAGAATTAGATTTTGAGTCAGGAGCCTTTTAATTGTGCTCTGCTTCTGCTTCATTCATCTTGTTTTTCTTTGCTCAAGTTGTTCTCAGATCTTCAGCAGCACCCTGAGTTGATAAATGGCACAGACACTGAGCTAATGCAAAGTCTGATGGAAGGAAACTACAGTCTTCCCAACACTTCCACCTTGCTAGAACAGCTGGACACCATTGACAATGCTGCCTGTGGCTGGACACACTTTATGTCTAAGGTCAGCACAGTTTTTATCTTAAATTTTACAAAGATAAAACAATGCATCACTCCAAAAACTTCATTTTGACCTTATAAAAAAGCAGTACTATAAATTCAGCCACATGACCACATGAAAGCAGCGGCCCAGGTTTGAGTCTGATCCATGTATGTCTTCCCTCCCCCTCTTGCTCCGCTTTTCTGTCTATCTCCACTATTGCTATCCAATAAAGGCAAAAAAATAAAAACACTTATGCATCCTGGATAACTATGCATAGTGTGGATATCGAGTTCAGAAGAGAAAAAGAGTTCTCATTAGGAAGGAAAATACAATAGATGATTTAAGAAGAGGCCTCCCGGGGAATGAATATGGAGCTGGGACAGGTTTGGACCATAATCCCAGAACCAACTGGTGGACATGGGAGGTGATCAGGTTGAAGAAAGTCTTACCTGGCTTCGTTAGCCAATGGGACTGCTGATGCAAAAACTTGGGTGTGGGAGGAGTTTGGGGACATAAAACAAGACTTTTGGTCAGCATCAAGATGATTCTGGCAAACTGGCAAACGACTCAGGAGGGGGATGCAGTGTTCCACTCGCAATATATAAAGTGGTCGCAGAACACAGAACCAGCTCTTTATCCTCCTGAGGTTATTTGAGGGTGTGTGGGAGTTTGACAGTTTTCATCACGTCCCATGGGGTCAGCCCTGGGGTGTCTGGCCTGTTGCTGTGGGCCATTTGCTCCCTCTACCACTGCAGCGCGAGCTTGAGCCATATTGTTGGCAATAAGTAGGACTCAGTGAGTGTTGAACCGTGCCAGTTCTGCCCTTGGTCACCAGTTTTGTTCGTAGTTTTATGGACACATTATCTAGCCCTAGCAGGTGGTGGAGGCTCTTGGGGTCTTGTTCATGAGGTCACAGATACAAGTGGTGGAAATTAGTTTCTTTCAAAGGGTGGCTGGGTTCTTCCCTTAGAGATAAGGTTACTCCAAGTCCCCCTCGGATGTTTGTTCATCCGAGGGGGACTTGGAGTAAAGCCTCTGCTCCTCAACATCAGGAGTCCTACTTGATGCCTCCTAGCCGAGGTGTTTCAGGCATATCGTACTGGGACGAGGCACCAGGTCATACCCAGGATATGCTGGAGAGATTATATCTGTCAGTTGACCAATGCAGTGTCCCCCTGGCTAAGCTGGAAGAGGTGGTCAGGGTGAGGGAAGTCTGGGCTTCTCTGCAAGGACTGCTGCTCCTGCGAGCCGAACCTGAATGCAGGGCTGCAATAATAATGACAACAATATTCATTCATTTTTATCTGCTTCACAACAACAACAACAACAACAACAACAAAGAAATAATCTTTCTTTATTAATGTTACTTACAGAGTGAAGTCATTATAAGACAAGTGACTGTTATCAGCTTTTAGCTACGTCTTTCTTTTTCTTTTTAGTCACGTACCAGTATTTCAAATGTTTGGATTACACATGAAAACACGACTGGTGTGATATTCACGTGAATTAACTTTTTTTTGCTTTCTTGATTCCGGTGTCAGTCACAACAGTCATGATGACTCTTTGTGTTTATATTTTATTAAAATTGTTATTAGGAATCCACAGATAAATGCAAAGTCATTGCATTAAATCACACTGAGAAGTTTTTACATTCTATTTAATGTCTTTGGACTTTGTAGAGAAAACAGAGACAACAGCACACGATCCTACTGCGTGCTGTAAATATGTAAAGACTTTAATAAGCTCATATGATGGTTTCATCTTGGTGCTAAAACACCAACAGCCTTCTGCAGTGAAACATGATTAGAGTAGAATAGAATAGAATCAGAATCAGAATCAGAATCAGAATGGGGTTTATTGCCAAATGTTGAGCAGGTTTACAACATTAGGAAATTGCTGCGGTGCTTCAGTGCAAACATGGTGTCATAAATAACACTTAAATAGACATGGAAAAAATAAAAGTAGGGATAAGAATTAAAAGTGCTACGTAGAAAGATATATACATGAGTGCAGGTGGTGATCAGTGCCAAACATGGAATGATGCAGTGACACAGCGTAGGGTCAGAATAGAATAGAATAGTTACTTTAATTGTCCCACAAGGGGAAATGTGGTTGTAACAGCAGCAAAAAACAAAACAAAAAAACCCCACATATACAAACAGAACAGGACACAGAACAGAAACACACAATCTTCACATATTTACATCATGGACAATAGTTACCAAAACAGAGCACTGTACAGTTATTAAAATTAAAGTGCAGATAAGTGGCAAACCCAGGTGTGTGTCTGTTACTTGTGTTTACAGGTCAGTGTTGATGTCTTCAAGGGCTTTCCTGATGAAGACAGCATTGTCAACTACACCCTGAATCAGGCTTACCGGGACAACGTTTCTGTGTTTGCCAGTGAGTCGCCTTTGCATGTCCGACTGTAATCATAGTATTTAATGCATTTAAAGTGCAGGAGTGAGGTGGACATGCTCTAGATTTTCACAATGTCCTGTTTGTGCTTTGCTTGCAAAAAGGTCACTTGTGTACCCACAGACCTCAGACTGCTTCCAGCTAGAGGTCAGCTGACAGGAGTCAGCTGACTTCCCTTTGGGCATATCTCATTCCACTGAAGCTTCTTCAGTTCTAAAACCAATCGCTCCCAGATTATTTGCCGTAGTGAGAGTTGTCCATTATGAGGGTCGCTGACCCCCTAATGATCCTCTATCTAATCACATGAGCCAAGGTGTGAAAACGAGTGCAGGTCACAATCACCATTGTGGACCCACTGTGAAGCCTGGCCCCACCCAATCGTGTGATTTCTGAGGTCAAAAGGCCCAGGATGTGAGTGGACGTTAAGGCATCTGGGAAGGATCTCAAAACGTACATGAGTGTGCCCCACACTGCTCCCCCTGGTGGATACACATGACATTACCACTTGATTTCCTAATTGCCGTTTAGGGGCGTTACTACTCATGGTTGCATCATTCACATCACAGGCGGGGATGTCACTGCGCTCACCCATCAACCAGCAATCAGTCAGGATTCCTCACAGTCCTGTCAGGGATGAGCAGCTGTTTTAAGTTTCTGTTTCTATATTATTCAGAGTCGTTCATAATCACACGAAGCATATCAAATGCCCACATCAGAGTTTTGATGCAAAATTAGATTTTCTTTACCATTCTAATGTTTTCTTTCCCCAGGTGTGATTTTCCAGACTAATAAAGATGGCTCCCTTCCACCACATGTTATGTACAAAATCAGACAAAATTCCAGCTTAACAGAGAAGACTAATGAAATCAGGAGGGCCTACTGGCGCCCTGGCCCCAACACTGGGGGGAAATTCTATTTCCTGTATGGCTTTGTTTGGATCCAAGGTAAGGAACTGAAATTCACTTACTTCCCCAGTGCTGACCGTTTGATTTGGTTGGAATGAGAATTCTCAGTCTTGTGTGGTTTTTGAACAGTATGTAGATCAACGGTTTTATGCACAGGACCCAAGGGGTGACACACTGATATCAGTGCAGTTTCATTTGTTTTTATGAAGTAAAGGTAACGTGCTTACCTGGCCTTGTGTCAGATTGGCACCCTGTCCAGGATGTACCCTGCCTCTTGCCCTGTGGCAGCTGGGATGGGTTTCAAGCCCCCTGCAACCCTGACCTGGATGAGCAGAAGGGGATGGATTGATGGAACGTGCTTACAACGCTGCAGCAGTAGCCTTTTCTAACTACAAATCATATTTTATTTAGTTGCTGAATGCAGGGAAGCCACTCAACTGACACAGAATATTGAATGATGAAATCAGAGTGATAGACGTGTCTGAAGACAACGCAGTGTAAGGCTGTTTAGCCAGGAGAGGTCACAGGCTCTGACAGGGTTGGATCATTATAAAAAGACTACAAATCAAACTTTCACGGTCACGTGTGTGGGAATGGAAGGAGAGGACCCAAATGCAGGACTCACGGGTTTATTAGTCAGACGACTTCCACCTCAGCTCTTCCTCCAGAAAGGAGAGCGGTGCCTGCTCCCGCTCGTAGAAGTCTGAGGGGTCCATTTCGTGTCTTCATGGGTCTCATCAGGCTATAGCATAGAATGAAATTACAATAGACTTTTATTGGATGTCATTCCTATGAAAACTGGTCACACTACAAGTGTGGTAGCTCTTTAAGGGTCTGTGGTCTTTATCACTGCAGTTTATGTTAAAAGGAAACAGTTGTTTTAAGTTATTAGAATATTTCTACTTCAGTTCATCATCAGCCTGTTTAAAGAATGAGCTGCTCTCTGTTTATTACCCTCATTCATAACTGAGTACAAGTCACGTGCTGATGTGTAAGCCTGCAGAAGACAGCAAATATATATATATA